TTTCATGGCTCATTTATGAAGGTTGAGAGTGTGAGAGAGAGAGATTCCATGGCTCATTCTTAAGATTGGGCTTGTTGTGGTCTGATAGATCATGTGAGGCTTCATACGTGTAGTTGTGCCTTGTAACACACGTGATATGTGGCCCCAAAGTCCCCCATCCCTTCTCGTAACAGGAATCAGTTTGAAGTTTTGAACTTCTAAGCGTTGGAATCTACAAAATCCTTTCTTTTTCTCTCTCTCTTAAACAAACAATTCCCTTTCTCTCTCTTCGTTGGGCGTTAGGTCATAGGCGAGAGTGATAGGGTGGGTCCCTCCTTTAGCCAAAACGTTGACATCATCGATGAGAGAGAAAGAGAGAGAGAGAACATGCCCCTTCGCGTTCCCACTTACAGTTTCTCCTCTTTTTTGTTGCCCATTTTCATCAATCTCTTTCTCTCTCTATAAATACCTACGTGTTTTATGGAGACGAGAAGTAGCAGATCTCTCTTAAAGGTAAAGCAAATGGTGACAGTTACGGGCTTGGGTGCTATCAGTTCGCTTATGATTACAAGCTGTTTGGCGGTCCTAACCCACTCGGTCCTGACCACCTACCTTGACGCACCGGGGCCCAGCCCAGCCGGCATATGCTCATCTGTTGTCCAACCCTACGGCTACTCCTGCGAAGAGCACACTGTACTCTCTCTCTACATTTATTTTTTTAGACCTTTCCCTCTTCTTCTTTTTAAGTGTTGGGTGATAGTTGTAATTATTATTATTATCATTCAAGTATTATCCTAAATAATCGGGTCTGCTATATCAATCTTGTTTTTTTATTTTTTTCTGTTAAGATAATGCCTCAAGGTTACACCTTTATCAAGACTAAAATAATGTAGTTCAGGATTGATGATAATTCCTAACAAAATTTTATGTTATCCAATGCGACCCACTTTTTTTTACCCGGGCTTCTAGGTGTAGTCTCACAATATAACTGTATGACTCAGGTGACCACCAAGGATGGTTATATTTTGAGCGTCCAAAGAATTCCACATGGGAAACGAGGTTCAAAGATAAGCGGCCAACCCGTCTTGTTACAGCACGGGGTTCTCATGGTGCGTCCTTTTTTTTATATGCTTTCATACTGCACCATCATGTGTGCATAAATTCCTCACATACATGTATGCATGTATGCATGCATAGGCTCGAGAGTTTGTAATGTGTGGAGTAGAGTGAGAAAGTGATATGGTGGTATGTATGACATCATGATGTAGGATGGGTTGACATGGCTATTGAATCCTCCGGATCAGTCACTGGCCTACGTCTTGGCCGAAAGTGGGTTCGATGTTTGGATCCCCAACACGCGAGGGACTCATTTCAGCCGCGCCCACACTTCTCTCCAGCCTACTGACCCGGTTCCTCTCTTTCTCTCTCTACAAATGATTCTACCCACCTCTCTCTATCTCTACAAATCAATTATACAATTCTTGGTTGGTTCAGGCTTATTGGAATTGGTCATGGGATGAGCTCGCTGCATACGATCTTCCTGCTGTCTTCGGATATGTTCACGGCCAGACTGGCCAGAAAATCAACTATGTCGGCCATTCGCAGGTTCGCTTCTCTCTCTCTCTCTCGAAATGTTTGAAGTTTGTATCTCTCTTCTTTCTTGAGTGGGTTTTGTTTTTGTTTCACAGGGAACACTGATGGCCTTGGCATCATTCTCTCAAGGGAAATTGATGGACACTGTGAGGTCGGCTGCTCTGTTGTCCCCCATTGCTTATTTGAGTCACATGTCAAGCGCCATCGGCCAACTTGCTGCCAAAGCCTTTGTTGGAGAAGTAATAATATCACTGCAAAAAATTTCTATTCAATTCTCTCTCTCTCTTGCAAAAGACTTCTTTTCAATTCTCTCTCTAACAAAGTTCATTAATTTGGATCATATCAGGTCACTAATTGGTTGGGTATCGCTGAATTCAATCCTAAAGGGTAAGATAGTGATACCAACACTGTTATGCCCAATAAAAAATTATCAATCAATAAATAAACAAACAAACACCTTACTTCGATCGATCTATCTTAAAATCCACATACGACTTAAGGTTCCATACCAAAATTTATAGACCAAAATCTTGAGAGTCATTTTTGGTGAATCTCTTTCACTTATTTTTCATCTTTCTCTCTTCTTCTCTTTTTTTTACTCTAGGGGTTAACGTTTTATTCTATTTTATAAAGAACCATCTTTTTGTAACTCTCATATTCATAGTATATAGGAGTTGAGATGCAAATATAACTCTTGCTTTAATTTCTTTAAGTACAATCAATTAGGATTAACAAGTTGTCACCGAAAGATTAATATTATATAATGAGCTAAACCTGTCATTAGTGCGCTAATAACTCACATAATAAGATGAAATCCAAGTATTTCTACAATTTGATAAAAGATATTTTGAAATTAAATAATTTTGTACATCTATAATATAAAAAAATAATTCTTACACAGAATCCAAACACATCACTAAGCTTCTCTCCCGTGCAACATCCTATAAAAGTTTCAAAATAGATTCTAGTATAAGACATTACCTCATATCAACTACAAAACTTCATATATACTATACAATATGACTTTTGTATTATTATTGAAAAATAAATTCTTAAAATTAAAAAACATTGAAAAGCCACATTTACTGCACAAACTCTTTACTCTCTCTCTACAAGTTTCAACTAAGGATAAGCTTGTCGTCTGCTTCGGAAATAACAGGCAGGCTGTGGCCAAATTCCTTAAGGCTCTTTGTGCCAACCCCGGGATTGACTGCTATGACCTAATGACTTCCTTCACAGGTTGTTCTCTCTCTCTCTAAATGTGTGAAGGTTTCTCTCTCTCTCAAATGTGAATAGTACATTGGCTTTTGTGTGGACAAAGAGACTCATTAAAATCTGTGTCCTCATGGCATTTGATGAAATGAAGGCAAAAACTGCTGTCTAAACTCATCTACAGTGGAGCTCTTCCTGAGATACGAGCCACAATCTTCTTCATCGAAGAACATGGTGCACTTGGCCCAAAGTAAGTACTCCTTTCCAAATTTCAGTTCTAAAGTACCATAGAGCCCAACAATGGCCTCCTTCTTCCTTTTTCATTTTTTTGTATCCCTGAAGAACCAAGTATTTCGGCTAGTTGGAGTCAAGCCTTGGATATTGAGCTGACCCGTATTACGAGAACAATAAAGTGTATAAAATATATATCATCATCATTACCATTATCCGAGCTTTATCTCAACTATTTGATATTTGATGCGTAAATCATGTTCTTCCATTCCTCTCTCTCAAAGTTATAATGTCAAATTATATATCAGTGTAGTGTATCTCTAACTATTGTTTTTTTTATCTTTTTAGACCTTTGCCCTCTCTTTTTAGAGCCTTCCACTTGAGTTAAGTCATTCCTCTTAATCAATGTTGTTTGAGATTGACCCTATACATAGCCACCCCCATCTATACGTACTTTATCTTATCTTATCTCTTATTAAAGTCATCTATAAATTCTTTCGAGTATCTGAACTTTATGCTTTCATGAATCTTGAACCACATTGTACCTAACAAATATAAATAAGAGATAAAAATAAAAGAAAATTACAAAAACCCCATGGACTCAACTTTCTTTACAACCTCTCCAAACTCTTTTTTTTTTTTTTTTTTTTTTTGTTTTTTTTTTTTGCAATTTTTACCCCAAAATAACTTTTATAGCAAAGACCCCCAAGTAAAAAATTTATAGTTTGAAGGATAAAAATATCTTTGCCTATACATAAAGCTGTCACATTCTCGCAAACGCTCACTCATCAAAGATGATCCGGCACATATTACTGCCAGACCGAAACCTATACCAAAAGTTGTTAGACCGCCTTTTTAAAAACAGTATACCAAGGGTCGAATCACAACACCCTTGTGTCGGACCGAGGGCCACTACTGCCAGTTCGCTTGATCTATGTGTCAAACCGCCACCATAAAGTGTCGAACCATCACCATAAAAATGTCGGACGATTGTTGCTTTTTTGGTGTGTAAGTGTCTACAAGAATGTGACAACTTTATGTACGGGCAAAGGTATTTTCGTCTTTCAAATTATGACTTTTTGATTTGGGAGTATTTTGTTATAAAAATTAGTTTTGGGATAAAATTTACGATAAAAATAAGAGGGGAGGCTGCAAAGATAGTTAAATAATTGGGCGTTTTCGTAATTTTTTCTTAAAATAACTATTAAACTTTCCATACCCCCGGACTACCGTACTTCGCATTTGTTCCCGGGAATCTCTTGTTCCCTTCATCCAGCTCATTCTTTCGTAATCCCTTAGACTATAGTATATTATGAACTTGTTCCTAATAGTAACTTGCTCCTAATAATCTCTTGGTCCATTTTTCGTTTTCTTGAACTTTAGTTTTCCCTTCATGTAATCTATCATTTCATCAAATAATACGTTTAGCTAATGTAAACCCAAATGGAAATTTGTTTTGCGCTTTTGAATGATCCACAGTGGTGCGGAATGGAAAGATAGAGATGTATAATTATGGGAATCCGAACGACAACATGAAGCACTACGGTCAGGCCGATCCTCCGACGTATAACATGTCGAACATTCCTCGACAACTTCCTCTGTTTCTAAGCTATGGAGGTCAGGACGCTCTCTCTGTCACTAAGGATGTGGAGCTTTTGCAGGACAGCCTCAAATTCCATGAGGGAGATGAACTTACAGTGCAATACATTGATAACTATGCACATGCTGACTTTGTTATGGGCGTCTCAGCCAAACATACTGTTTATGATCCCCTTATTGCCTTCTTCAATCGCCATTGAATCACTCAAGAATTGTAATGGAGGAGAAGGATGAAGAATCAGCCTTTTAGAGATTAGAATGTTGTGAAACCATCATTTATAGTTTTAAGCTATTGTTTAGGAGGCATTTGTGATTTATTTGAGGCCAGTTCTGTTGTAAAATCATCCTTGATGATCTAAATCATCATTTATGATGTAAAATCAGTTTAAGGGCCTTTATGATGTAATGAAGATTTATGTACTCCTTAAATTTTCAAGCATAAGGCAATGCAATGACATCATTCGTCAACTTTGAGCACCACTTGAATTATACAAGTCTCAAATAACCCTCTCTCTCTCTCTAAATAACCTCTATCTCTCACGTGCAGGCACAGTTTTTAATAATTTCTCGCTCTGGTTCCTGTTTCTCTCTCATGCACAAAACCCCCTCTCTTTCTCTCTCCCCTGTGTCACGGTTGGTTGCAGTCGGTCCTCTGGCCTGTCATGCATTTCTCCATCCTTAGTCAATTTTTAATTCTAGTTTTCTCTGGGTCTACTAACGCATTCCTCAGGACCCAGACCCGGACCAGTTGGGTGCAAGTCATTTTGACCGAGACCCAAGTTTGAAATAAATAAAAATAAGAGTAATTTACATACCGACGTAAAATATGAAATGCTCTACTTATATGCGAAATTACAAATAAAAAAATCGGTCAACTTGTCTTTTTTTTATTTTTTTTAAAATTATCTCTTGATCAACCTGAATTTTAATTTTTTTTTAGTTTTTTTTGTTGATAGGGCAGTACCCAAACCTTAAGTCACTGCCACACAAACGAAAAAACTAAAAAAAATAAAAATAAAAAATAAAAAATTTGGCAAGTTTGGCCAAAAAAAAAAAAAAAAAAAAAAAAAAAAAAAAAGGACAAGTTGATCAGCTTTCTTTATCATTTTCTTATAAATGGAGCATTTCCTATTTTACTTAAAATTTTAAAGTCTTTACGTAAATCACTCTAATTTTTTTCTTTTTTGTATATATACATTTAACATATATTTTTCAATATTTTATACCGGGTCAAATTGACCCTAACCTTGACCCGGCGTGGCAGGTCCCAGCCAAACTAACCGGACCCAATCCGCTGGGCCACAACATGCACCCGAACCCGGTTGGGCGTTTGCTTACCCCCTTTGCAGGATAATATTAAATAAAACTTATATAATTGTTTCAAAAAGACGTCCATTTCTTTTTGTATTTTATAGAAAGACGGTGTTCGAGTTTCCAACTTCCAAAATTGCAATGCATATAGTAATTGGATAATAACGTCAGGTGAGTTCGTGATTTTTGGGGACACGTAAAAATATCAATTCAAAGTAAAGAAGAATAGAGGTCGATGCTTCTCGATAGTTTATGAAAAGATGATGTTTTAGTGCAGCCATATCCATATGCGTCCCTTTCTGGAAATAATTTTTGGAGACGGATTTTAGATCTAAAATTTGATAGGGCGGTAATTTCGACTGCCATAAAATTAATATTAGAAATGACGTTTGGATCGAGAGTTTCACGGAGTGACAATCCCGACCAACACGAAAAATAATAATTAGATCCCACTTTGTAATCCCATGCTCTTTCAGAACAAATAAAACTAACTGATATTGTAAAAAAAAA